CACACACACACACACACACACACACACACACACACACACACACACACGGACTTGGCCTCGCCACCTGCCCCCCCCAATCTTCAACCCCAGGTGACAGCTGTAAACACATCTGGTGAGCTGCCCTTCGAAATATTCTAGATGGCTCCTCCAGCCCTCTTGAAGGATTCATAGTTGTGCTTTGTTTTTGTTTCTAAATGAGATTGGATTCTATGTATTGCTTTGTAACTTGCTGTTAAAAAAAGTACCACTGGGCCTTGAGGATTGAGTTATGGCGGCAGACACAGACCCCACTTCCCTTTCAAACCTGGCAGGATTTAGTAGCTGCCCCACTTGTGGTCATTCGGATTGTTCTAGGCTTCCTTTTCAGAGAAGGCTGCTGGAAAGCGGCGGGTTTTGCTGGCCATGGGGGTTTTATTTCGCTCTCACCGGACCCTGCTCTGCTGTCACCAAGAGGTGGTGGTGCTCTGTGAAAAACCCCTCTTGCCCACCCACGAAGAACGGCAGACCCTTCCCCTGGGCGGTGGAGACAGAGAAAGTTGATGTCCAAGCCCGCCTGCCTCCTCCTTTCCTTCCCTCCCCACCCCCCAGCCCCCACCCCCCCACCCCCCCACCCCCGCCCCAACCGGTGAAACCAGATACTCTTTCATTCTTGCTCCTTTGTCATCTACTCAAAAGGCAGAGGGAAAACCTGTTCCCCGAGACCAGAAATCCTCCCCTCCCTCCAGTCCCGGTTCTGCCCCAGCAAGCAGGCAGCCAAGTCAACGGGCGCCTTTGGGGACAACCGAGGTTGCCAAGGTAGGGAGGGCACCCTGCTCAATAGAGTGGAAGCAGGTATGAAGCACACGAAGCACACGAAGCATCCACCTGCTCAGCCACGGCCCCCCCTCCTGCTCCCAGCACAGCAAGGGGCTCCACCTGGGGTCCCACAGGATGCAGGCCTCAGGACTCCAGGAGTAGAGCTTCCCATTTCTCCCAGGCCATGCTCCCGCCTGCCTCATCTATGAGCATGTTATAGTGGAATTGCCTGCACCCCCTGCCCGCCCTCTGGGGTGATGAGCGCTTCACTGGCCGGGCCCTGGCTCAGAGAGCCGATATTGACCCAATTCACGCACTGAGGGAGCCCTGTGTCAGATCCAGGCACTGGGGATGCAAGGGAACTAAAAGGCCAACCCCTGTCCTCTCAGAACTCAGTGTTTGTTGAATGAATGAGTGATTGTTGGCAGCCGAGGAGCCTCACTGCAACTCTGCCCCATTCCTTCTGCCATAAAAAGGGCAGAGTGAACCCAGCTTCACTTGCTAGTGTCATGAGGGTCAAATGGTCCACGGTCAGTTTTCCTGGCTTGGCCCTTTATCAGAATCCACCCCCCCCCCAGAATCCACCACCCCCCACTCATGACATTTGCAGATTCTTGGGCCCCTCCCCGGGCCTGCATCAGAACCTCCTTGGAAGAGGCTGGAATCCGAGTGTTTAACAAGGCCTGGGTGCTTAGGGTGTTGGAGAGAGCTTCCAGCAGCCATGTCCCCTGAGTCTCACTGGATGGCCACTCACCGTGGGGCCCCTATCAAGAGCTGACCTGACCCAGTCACCCCTGCATTGAAAGCAGAGCCCCCACATCGGGGATCAGGCCCAGGACCCAGCCTGGGCTTCTCCCCCACCTGCCTCTCCAGCCTTCCAGCCATATTGACTTTCCTAGGCTCCACCAAAGCACCAGGCCTTTCACTTCCAGACTTTTGCCCATACTGTTCCCCATTCCTGGAACACTCCCTTCACCCCTCCTTGGGCCACACCACTCCCTGGGCTGGGCTTACTCAGGACCTACATGTACCTTCCACCCCCGTGACCAGCCCTGGCCCCCGTTGGGGTCTCTCTCAGCCCTGCCCTCTGGGTGCACACTTCCCCACTGAGCCCCGCAGAGGGGAACTGCAGTGGGGCCACAGTCCCTGGTTGGACAGAGGGGAGGGGCCCAGCAATATTCCCCTCCCTTTGATTTCTGTCTTCAAATAGAATGCGGAGGAAGTCAGGGCCCCACAGTGGGTCTGAAGGCCCAGGTGAGACCGAGGGAGGAGGAAAAGGGGCTGTTCCCTGCTGCCCGCAGGGCACCTGTACAGAAGCCCCGAATGGGCATTCAGCATGTCCCTGGTCAGCCTGTCCTACCTGCTCGGTGGCCCAGCTCCATCGACTCTTGCTCTGGGATAGGTAATTCCAAGCTTAGTCCTGAAGACAAAGAAACACATTTAGTCATCTCAGATGACACAGTCTCTGCAGAAAAGGATGAACAGAGAATTAAACAGGGAGGCTTGTGGCCATCTGCCCAGCCCCTGACCCGAGGTCCCTCCATGCTCTTTCCAGTCCTCTCTGGTACTCAGCAAACCCCTTCCCCCGTGCTGCCGCCATCACCCATCCCCACCCCCGCCTGCCTCCTGGACCCCTGCAGACTCTGTCCTCTCTGGAAAGCCCGGGTCACTTCCAATGCCAGTGCTTCAAAGAACTTTCTCAAACAGCCTGGGGGCCCTGAGTGCCTCTTGCCCTTTGCACGCTCTTCCTTCCACCTTCTCCCCTATCTGCAGCACCCAATGCTCCCCTGGGATTCCCCAGCAGGCCCCTGGCTGTGGGAGGCCTTGCCCCAAGCCCCTTATCCTGGTGACTTTTTGCCTCCCTGCAAGTAGGACTGTGTCCCTTTTACTAGCTGGTCATTCAAGCTCAAGGGAAAGGAACCGGCTTGGCCATCATAGGAGAGCTGAGAGCAGGAGCCTCGCGGCTGTGACCTCAGTCTCTGCTCCACAGAACAGGTCTTTGGGCCAATTTAGAGCAGCCCTGTCATCTACAATAGCCCCTGTGGCTTTCGGGTTTGTGTTCCTTTTCCTAGTGAACTTCTTCTTATTCCTAATACCTGATTTTATTGCAGTGTCTTTAAGATTTTTGTGAATCTTGTAATATGAAAAAGTAAAACAATTTATTGTATACAGTGAATGTTTAGTACCCAGGCCTAAGCAGGAAGTAGCTTTGTAATAAGGAAAGCATAGAAGTAGCAGGTCAGAGCTGGAAGGGATCTTTGGGATCAATTAATCCAATCTCTTCATTTTGCAGATAAAGAAACTGAGGCCCAGAGAGGGGGAGTGATTTGTGCTAGGTCACCCAGCAAGCTGGTCTGCTGGTAAGCTCAGAGCAGATTAAGAACCAGATTGATTTTAGGGACGCCTGGGTGTCTCAGTAGGTAAAGCCTCTGACTTCAGCTCAGGTCGTGATCTCAGGGTCCTGGGATCGAGGCCTGGGTTCGGGCTCCCTGCTCAGCAGAGAGTCTGCTTCTTCCTCCCCCTCTGATTCTCCTCCCACTCGTGCTCTCTCCTCAAATAAATAAAATCTTAAAAAAAGATCAATTTTCTTTTGAAGAAATCACAAAGCAAAACACCCTATTAATGTTGACACTTAATAATTGTGTGGTGATAACTGTGTGATCGTGCAGCTTCTGATGGACTGACTCCCCATGATCCCTAGTTTCATAAGACCTACTGTTGGGGAGGGACTGAACTTAACGGAATACCCTTCTGGTATTCTCTGGTATTGGTATTGCTCTGGTATTCCACAGCATTAGCCCCCCACCCCATCCCCCTGACTGTGGGCTGGACTTAGCAGCTTGCTTCTGATCAAAAGAATATGATGAAAATGGGAGGATGTCACTTTGAGATTAGATTAATGACTTTTGTCTTATTCACACTCTTTCTCTGGCTCTTCTTGGCTTGTTTGCTCTGGTGGAAGCAACTGCCATGTATTGAGCTGCCCCATGGAGAAGCCAACAGCTCATGAGGAAGGGAGACCCTTGGTCCAATAGTCCTCGAGGAACTGCATGAATCTTGCCACCCAAATGAGCACGGGAGTGGATTCTTCCCCAGTTGAGCCTTCATATGAGAACATAGCCCAGCTGACACATTAATTACAGCTTGTGGGGGACCCTGAGGCAGAGGACCCAGCCGGGCTACACCCAGGATCCTGACCCAAAGAAACTGGGAGATAATAAATTTGTACTTCTTTTTAAGCACATAGTTTTAAGTTGCTAAGCTTTGTGGTCATTTGTCATGCAACAGTAGCTCACTAACATACAGTTTGGTACCAAGAATGGGCTGCTGCTGTAACAAATACCTAAAAATGTGGGAGTGGCTTTGGAACTGAGCAGTGGTTGGAGCATGCATGGATTTTGAGGAACATGATTGAAAAGGCTTAAATTGCCTTAAACAGATAATGAGTAGAAATCTGGACTTGGAGGATGCTGTCACTGCAGGCACAGAAGGATGTGAGGAACATGTTCTTAGAACCTGGAAGAAGACATGTCCTTGTTATGTAGTGACAGAAACTTAGTGACACTGTCACTGACAGTTATGAGGAAAGCAGAACGTGTGACTAATGAGCCAGGGGATCTAGCAAAGGAGATTCTCAAAGGTGCTTCCTGGTTTCTTCCTGCTGCTTGTACTGATTGTGAGAGAAGAAAGAAACATTGAAGGAAGGATCATTAAACATAAAAGAGGCAAGACTTAATAGTTTTGGAAATTCTCATCCTCTCCAAGTGTCAAAAAATGCTAAAATTAAGAAATGGCTTCAGAGCACTGTCAGGAAAAGGTAACCAAGGGTGCGACTATACCACATTTTGTTAAAAGCTTATAAAGATGAAAAGCTCAGAGCATATTATTCTGTCACACAAATGATCCTTTAAAGAGATAAGGATGCATCTCACAGACCCCCCAGTTGGGTAATAGGGCCTCTAGGAAGCTTACGGGTGCTGTCTCTCTGCAGGAGCCCCAGGAGAGAGGAGCATAGCTATTGTCTAGCAGTGCGAGCCCCTGCAGGCTTCAGTTATTGAGAAAACCATATCAGCAAAAGCACAACCAGCTTGCAATAAAGGGGGCAGAGAGAGTACAAAATGGGACAAAAAAAATGGGAGAGATTAGTGGACTCTCAAATTCTACTGGTAGAACAGTCTGACAAGACTGCTCAGCATACACACATGTTCTTATTTATTTATTTTATTTTTTTAAAGATTATTTATTTATTTATTTGACAGAGAGAGACACAGCGAGAGAGGGAACACAAGCAGGGGGGAGAGGGAGAGGGAGAAGCAGGCTTCCTGCTGAGCAGGGAGCCCGATGTGGGACTCGATCCCAGGACCCTGGGACCATGACCTGAGCCGAAGGCAGACGCTTAATTACTGAGCCACCCAGGCGCTCTTTATTTGTTTTTTTAAAAGGATAGAGAGTGGAAGAGAGTACCTGTTGGGCAGAGCTGAGAACCATGGAGAATTACTTCCAGGCCTTGAAACCCAAACAGGAAAAGTTCAACATTTCCTTGGCTGGATTTCAGAACTGCTATGGGCCAGTGACTCCTTTGTATCTCCAGTGTCCTCATTTTTGAATAGGGATATCTATCACTCTTTTCCTGGGGCTGCCACACCATTTTGTGGTGGGTGTGTTCAGAACAGGTAGCTTAGTTTCATAAGACCTACTCTTGGGGAGGGACCGAGCTCAAGAAACCACACCCAAGGAGTCTCATCCATGCCTGGGCCTGATTTGTAGAACCAGGTTCTAGATTTAGAGCTGATGGAATGAACCCTTTGTAGATCTTAGGCAGAAATGAATGCATTTTGTGTACGGAAGGGATGTATATTATCGGGGCCTAGAGGGGGCAGTGAGGTGGGCAGTTGACATGGCTCCCAAGGATCCTGTTCCCTGCTACTCACAACTTTGTAGAATCCCTCCCCTTGAGTGTGGGCTGGACCTGTTGACTTGCTTCTAATCAATAGAATATGTGATAGGATGCTACTTCCAGGGTTATTGAAGATTGAATATAGAAGATTGTGACTCTGTCTTGTTCATGCTCTCTCAGGCTCTTCTTGGCTCACTCACTCTGATAGAAGAAGGGTCCATGTCATGAGCTGCCCTCTGGAGAAGCCCACCTCAAGGATCTTAGGGGGGCTCCTGGCCAACAGCTCACGAGTAACTGAGACTCTCAGTTCAACAATCCACGAGGAATTGAGTCCTACCAAATGAGTGGCCCTGGAAAGGGGTCCTTCTCTAGTTGAACTTTGATTATAGTCTGTAGAAGACCCTGAGACTTGGGATCCATTGGAGCTCTATCTGTATTTCTGACCCAAAGAAACTGTGAGATAAAAAATCTTCTTAGAGGCACCTGGGTGGCTCAGTCAATTAAGCATCCAATTCTTGATTTTTGGCTCAGGTCATGATCTCAGGGTTGTGAGACTGAGACCCACATCAGGCTTCACACTGAGTGTGGAGCATCCTTGGGATTCTCTCTCTCACTCTGCCTTTCTCTCTCAAAAATTAATTAGTTAATTTTAAAAAATGTTCTTAAAGCCACTAAATTTTGGGGTGATTTGTTATACGGCAAGAGATACCTAATGCAGTTCATATGCATTCTCACATCTAATAGATTAGTCTTCATAAGGACTCAGGTGTTCAGAGAAAGTATTAACTCTCTGTCTTTCACGGGTGGAGAAAATGAGGCTCAGAAAAGAAATAAGACCTCAGCCAGGTGGCACTGAAACCAAGCCCGACATCTTCTGTCTCCTTCAAGCGAGCTGCCTCATCCCCAGTTACCCACCCGCTGTGCCCACGGCTGTGTCCCATCTGCCCTAATGGCACCCCCAGTCCAGAGCAGCCTGGACTCCCTTGAACAGAAGTGTGGACTCACTGCCAGTTTCTGATCTGGAAAGAAAGGTCCCAAGAGACGTCAGTCAAGGAGGATGGGGGCGGAGGTCTAGTTGCTTCTGGGTACTCTTCCCTCACGAGCAGCCCTGAATGGAGAGAGGGAAGATGAAATCCCAGGCCTCGGGAGACCCCCGCCCACCTCACAGTTCTCTGCCTCACTTCTCCACTCTCTCTCATAACATCAGAAAACACGTGAACCACTCTGGTGTGTGCTGAAGCCCAGGAGTGCAGATCCACACTGCAAAAACTGCTGGTGAAGACTACTAGGTGGTTGCTAGGGAGCAGCCCTCCTCCACTGTTCACTGGAGTCACCGTGGTGAGCATTATTCATAGGGCTCTATTACCTCAGAGGGCTTCTAGGCCCACCCTAGGGAACTGAGGCCAGGGAAAGCCAGTACTGGGGGGAGGGGGAGGAGCCTTCAGGCATCGTTCACTCTCTCATCCCCTCAAAATGTTTCCAGAGCCCCCCACATGTGTCAGGTTGTGTATCACGCACAGAGGGTCCAGATGCCATCAGGTGGAAAGGAAGTTCTTGGGATGACAAAGGATTAAGTAGAGAGAATGATGAGTTTTGTCTGGGGAAATGAGTCATTTGAGCTGGGCTTTGAAGGATGCATAGGAGTTTAACAGCTTAGACGGGACTTGACTATAAAAGGCCTGGATGTGTTTATGAGCATAAATATAGGCCAAGAGGAGTGGGGGGGGAGGGGAGAGAAAGGTGCACCTGAAGCTCTCTGAGCTGGACATGAAGGGATCAGGGACCAAGGAGTAAAATGAGAGCAGGATGAGACAACGAGAGTCGGCTCTCCCCTGCTCGAACCACGAGGGCTACCAAAGATGAATAGTTCAGTGGCTTCTGCAGCTGGTGTCAGCAGGAACTCAGTCCTGTCTGGCTGTTGCTTAGCAGGGGTAGGGCTCCAGGGGCTGCCTCCTCATGCCAGCCTTCCAGGGGCTCCCCAGGTGGCAGAGAGCTTGGTGACACTCGGGACCCCTGAGTCTGGGCCTGCCACTTAAGAAAAGAGTGACTTTGGCCGAGTTCTTTGGCTGAACTTTCCTCATATGTGAAACAGACACAGCTCACCGCCAAGGGTAAGAACGAAGATTGAGCGAAATCACTTTCGAGAAGCGCCTAGCGCATCGCTTGCCACAGAGAGATGTCTCCTGTAACCCACAGCTAACCCCGTAAGCGACTCATCAGCAAGGCCTTCCAAGTACACCAAACTCGCACCCCTTCAGCCACCTCCACTGCCCGCCCCCCACCCTGGCCCCCAGTCCAGACCTCTTGCCTCCTCACTGGTCTCCTGGGATTACTCTCTTCCACGTTATCTATTGCTGAGTGACAATATGACCGCAAACTCAGCAGCTTCACACATTCCCTATGGCAGTTGCTGTGGGTTGGGGGGTCTGGGCGTGGCTTCGCTGGATTCTCTGGTCACTCAAGGCTCCAACAAAGGACCTAAAGCTGGCATGACAAGGACAGCATGGAGGCAGGAAGGGTCAGCCTTAACCCTCTTCCACGCAGACCCCTCAGGCCTTCAGCCTGATACAGCCTGACACCCAGGCTCCTCAGCATTTACTGAGCACCTGCCTGCCTCTACGCCAGCCTAAGGGCTGGGGCACGTCATTGACAGACTTGGTCCCTGGCCCTTGGTGGCCCTGTCTTTGCCCAGGAAGGCTGCGCGGTGGAAGCAGGGAAGCCCCATTAGGGGAGTCCAGGGGTCAGCGTGCAGCCTGTGAGGGGAAAACAGCCCTCCTGAGGTGCTGCCCAGACATTTGACGATAGGACAACCCTCCTTGAACCCCAAGTCTGGACATAGACAAGGCCCTGAGCTTAAGATTCCTGTCTCAAATTCCAGCTTTGTCTTTCCCAGGGAACCTAGGAAAATAACCACTTTGAGCTGAGCCCATGGAAAGTTAGTGCCCTCAGCCCTAACTGCCTTAGGAGTAATAGGCTCTCTGTTCTGTCTTGCCAGCTCACGGGTGACCTGGGACAGAGGACTGCCCTCCTCTGGCTCATCACCCCCCACCCATGTCTGGGATCTGTAAGTAATAAATCTTGTGACTTAACTTCCTTTGTGTGGGTGTATTGAAACGGCATCTCCCGTCAAAATAAACCCAGGGTTTTCACTTTCCCAGGTGGGAGCTCGGAAGCTGAGGGGGCTACCTGCCGACCCTGAGGGGTGAGGGGGGGCTTGTGCCCCCTGAATCAGCAAGTTGTAAACGGATGATTCTGAATTCAGTACATCAGCTATAGGTCCTCCAACACATGGCCCCAAAGGAGGGCTTAGAAAGCCTTTTTCTAGGAAACTCAAAATCCAGCCACGAGGGTCCAGTCTTCTTCGGTAGCTTCACACTGCCAGGGCTCTGGAACTGTTTCCCGGGGCTGAGGCTGCTTCTCCAGCCCCTCTTCATGTGCTCCCCAGAGGGTCATATTCTGAGCCAAGGACACCCCAGGTGGAGGCCACCTTCCTCGGGCCTGCTTCTGAGCATTGCCTCTTCTGAGGGGCCCCAGGGCCTTGTGCGGTGACACAGTTTTGGAAGGCCGGGTGCCCCCACCCTGTTCCCCACACCCAGAGCACTGGGCCTACAGCAGGAGCAGTGTGCGCCCAGCTAGGCTCGGTTTTGCTTCTCCTCAGCTTCCTGTCCCACTTCCAGGTAGGTCCCAGTATGCTGTACCTGACATGGGACAACGGGTGGCCTCCTTTGCCAAAACGAAATAATAGACTGGCATCCTCTGCGTGGCCTCCCCAGCTAGGGGCTGCTCTGGAGGTTTCTGGCCTCGGTGGGTTCTAAGGAACATGAAGGAGCTGGGCACATGGGGCAAGGGTGACACCCAAGGAGAGGCAGGCAAACACAGCTACTCAGAAAAGGCAATTTATTCCAGTGTTTCAGGGGAAAGGAGAGCTTTGCATAGCAATTCTAAAACGTGGTCAGTCTCCTTTGCTGAAGAGGTATGCGCTGCATGTCAGGCTGCGGTCACTAAACAGATGGGAGCTGCCAGCCAGCGAGGAGGCCCACCACTCAGGCCTTCTCGCGCTTCCACTGGGACACACGGGTCTCCGGGGGTGCCCGGCGGAACCACTCAGACCAGGAGCCATCATAGACGGCCACATCCGGCTTGCCGCAGAGGTAGGCGGCCAGGGCGATGTGGCAGGCGGTGACTCCCTTCCGGCACATGGCAATGAGGGGCTGTGCTAGGTTCACCTTCTTGGCCTCGAACATAGCACGCAGCTCCTCTGGGCTCTTCTCGAAGCCGTCCGCGGTCAAGAAGTCCATGAACGGCATGTTGACTGAGCCTCGGATGTGGCCCGGGTCCAGTCCTGGGCGCAGCAGAGGACAGAGGGAAGGACAGGTTTAGGAGCGGCACTGGGGGGCGGGGACAAGTGGGGTGTGGCCATAAGGCTAGGGAGCTTCAGAAACAAAAGTAGTACCTTTGCCCTTCTCAGAGCTCAATTTACCCCTGGTCCAACCTACACTGAAGGCTGGAGACAGAAGACAAAGGGCCCCCTCCCCCAAAACCTGCCTTGAAGTAGGGATGTCCAAAATCATACCTGCTTGGGAGGACAGGGATGAATCTCAGCTCTGCCATTTACTGGCCTTCTTACTAACATATACCTTGGGCAAACGCTTCACTTCTCTGAATCAGTTTTCTCATCTGTAAAATGGGCTCAATGGGACATACCTATCTCATAGGGTTATTGAGAAGCAAATGTTTCGTGCCGGGTCAATTGCTAAGAACACAGTGGTGGACACAGTCCAGGCTCTCAGAGAGATTACAGTCTAGCAAGGAAGACAGATGCTAAATGGATAACCACATGATTCATCAAAGATAATAGAAATATAAATTCATAAAATATAATGTCCATTTTACAGATGTATACACTGAGGCTTAGCAGCATTAAATGGCTCACCTAAGGCCACACTGAGAGGCAAAGGCAGACCCAGGATTACACCAAGTCCCCCGACATGCCTGTTAAGCGCAGTTGTGGAAAGAGTATATGACCTGCTGCTAGACATAAGTTTGAATCCCAACTATGCCACTTACCAGAAGGGTGACCTTAAGCAAGTCATGTCACCTCCTTGAGCCTTGGTTTTCCCAGGGGTAAAATGGGAATGAGAGTATTCACGGGCCCGGGCTGTTGTAAGGAGCAAAGCACCAGCTTCTGCGCCTGGCCCATGCACCCTCAGATGCTGATGCTCCCACTTACCCTGGGGGAGGGTGAGGATGGGGACAGTGTGGTCCCTGCAGGCCCTTCCTAGCAATGCTGAAAGGCTTGGATAGAAGTAGAGTGGGGGTCTGAGCTGGCTCTGAGGTCTATTCCGGAACGGTCTCCCCTCCCAATGAGGCTCCTCTGCCAAACCTGGTTTCAGAATAGCCAGCAACGGGGGAGGGCAAAGAGATCTGGGCCAAGGCCAGAGCCGGAGGCACCTGCAGGGCCAAGGCCTTGGTCCCTCCCTCAGCGTGCCAAAGGTCGCTCCTCTCTTCCTCAAGCACCCCACGCCCTGGTAGACTTTAGACGCTGGGAGCGGAGCCCATGACAGATTTAGGCATCTCTTTGGGCTACCCTTCCTCCAAAATTCCCTACCACCCCCTTAAACCTGGACCACAGGACAGGGCAGGACCAGGGTGAGCCGCAGTGGGAGGGAGAGGACCGGACCAAGGCACATGCTGGGGCAGGGTGCAGCCAGGAGGCCCTGCATCCCTAAGCCTCAGTCTCCTCATCTGTGAAATGGAGAGATAACCCCACCTACCTCACAGGCTTGTGGAGAAGATTAGCGACGGTAGGTAGAAGCCCCTAGTGGCCCCGGGCACATAGTAGGAGCACAATCATGCCAGCAACATCCCATTCCCTGCACCCTGAAGCCAAAGAGGCTTGCAAAATTCCCTGACATGAGTCAAGAGTAACTTTGAATGAATTGGTGTCCGAACTTGTAAATTACAGTGATTTCTTCCTGCTGTCATTTTATCTTTTTTGTCTGGAAATTTTAACCTGAGCCTGGATGTGCGCTGACCCTACCAAGGAGGAACAATAGATCTGTCGGCTTCAAAGGCATCCTTTGCCAAGACACCCAACTTAAAAATCTTTCGGCATCCAGGCAGTGGGCTGAATTTAAGTGCATTTAAAAGTGCGTTTGTTAAGTTCTGAATGCTGTTTTGTTTCTTTCCTCCCAATCCCCAGTGAAAACAGCTTTACTGCTTTCTTCTGACTACATAAAAGGCACCTCTTCTGAGTAAAGAAGTCGGCGGGGCGGGGGGGGGTGGTTCTGTGACGCGGGCTTCCCAA